GGTTTCAGTTGTCACTGAAGTTCAGGCTTTGTCGATCCAGTGACTTCCAGGAAAGTTTCATAGTGCACCCTCCCGGTTGCTCCATCCCCGCCCAAACTTTTATTCTGCTGCTCGATTACTGTTTTCGGCTGAATATTTCACTATTTTCAGCAAAACAGCTGCTTTTTCTGCAGGAGACATGCACAGTAGAGCAAAGTGACAGTGTTACAGGAGTAAAAGTAGTACTAGATACTGCCACACGAGCCTAGAGCTTCTCGTGGCTGTCAGTGTGAAAATTTTAATATATAAGTTGCACCGGAGTATAAGTCGGAGGAAACACCCAAACCATGAAAAAAGTGACTTATAGTCTGAAAAATTCAGTATCTAGCTTTATTTTTATTGTATCAGTGGCATAAAGTTGCAGTATTTCTCTATAGCAATACATCGTACTTCAAAATGTGTTATTGTGAACCATGAAAAAAAAGTGCGACTTATAGTCTTAAAACTACGGTATAGAGATTAACTAACTTAGTTTCATAAAGTGTACAGTTGAGGGGGACTTTCCAGCTGATTTTTCCGGTTGCGAGAAGGACACACATTAGTCTACATTATGCGTGTGTTAAACATGTGTGAATGAAACAAAAAAAACAACAAAAAACACAACTCCAGGTCTGTTTGTGATGAGGAAACAGTATTATAACACAGATCAGAAATACTGTACCATGAGCCATTTTAAAATATGAACGTCTCAGTATGCTAATGTAAGCTGTATTTTTAGCTTTGAAATCTAAAAACCTCCGCTGCAGGTAAATAACAATGTGCAAATCCTGCCTGAATGTGCAGACTTCATTACACTGTGGGCTCGAGCTGTATGTGGGTTCAGAGAGGATTTAAAGGGGATGATGTCTGGGAGATTTCAATGCAAATTTAAGAGGAGGAGGTGTGAGCGATGGGCCTTTTTTTCTGGTGGGGGTTGGTGCTTAGAATGAAAAGACTCTCCTATTTAGACTAAAAACAGTCTGCATATGCTAAGATGTCAGAGTGGAACCATGTAGGAGTGTCACAATAAATACTATATCTACGTAACTCAGCTGTGCTTTTCCTCGTCCGACTTTTTACTTTTTTGGAGTCTCTGGATTTCATTCGTTTCTTTCTGAAGTTTTGATTCTTTTTCCAAGAGCCACATTTTAGTTTTTTTTACATACCATATATATACTTTGTTTTTGTACTAGTGGGGATTTTTTTTTGTATTATGATGAGATTTGAGCTATAGAATGTTAAATTATGAACTTCTATGAGTCATTATCGATATAAACGATATCGATATAAACTACTTAAAGGTGGATTATGTAAGTTTTTGGTTGGCTATGGGTCCATCATTTGCTTTTTTCAGGTCTACTTTACATTTATTCAATTACAGGTGGTTTTATAGCTCAAGAATACCTAGAAAAACAGGCATTCTGACTGAGCGGGGTCGCCTCTCCATAGATAGTTGAAAAATAGGTCAAATTCAAAATTATTCTGGGTAGTTTAAGTGTAACATTTTTGACTCCTGAACTACAATTTCTCCATATTCAAGTTTATATTCAGTAACTTTTTATTTATTTAACAATATTAGGGGTGTAATTGGTTCGGTATGTACCTTGGTTTTGGGGTTCGGTTCATTTTTGGTACAGTGTGGGAACAAAGTGCAAAACCAAAATTTGTTCTAACATTATACAAACAAGACAATAAAATAAATGCAAAGTGCTGCTTGGTAATACTAATAAGTTAAACAAAATATTCTCAAATAAGCAACAAATGTATAAAATATTCCAAAAAATTAATTCCTTGTAAAAAGTAAACAAAACTTTTCAAAAAGTTAAACGCAGCACTAACAGTTCCAGCATGAATTTTTACTCAATCTTCATATATTTGGCCAGAAAAACCAACTTGTCCACATTGTCTGCAGTAAGTGCAGATCTGCTGGCAGATACAATGTCAACGGGGACGGGACGAAAATTATGTGCCGGCGAAATTGAGGACCGTGGCGCAACGACCACAGTTTTGCGAGGATTCACGTGGTTTGGAGGGACATAGTCAAGGCGGCCTTAACTATAAAGCACTGTGGGAAACACTGTCACTCCAATCATGGACGAGTTCCCGTGTGAATATTAAAAGAGCCGAGCCTTCAGTAGCTGCACATGTAGTGGCGGAATGTAAACAAATTGCGCAAACTCACTCGTGCACAGCCCTGCATCAAAACGAACATCCCGTACCGAAAAGGTTCAGCACCAATACATGTACCGCTACACCCCTAAACAATATTGTACGGTATTTTCCGGGCTATTACGCGCTCTTAAGCCACCAACCCCAACAAAAAAGGACCGCGCGCCACAATCCAGAGCGCCCCATACAAGAATCCACTCGGGTGTCCCAGCACGACTTTAGTAAACTACAAAGCCACACCACCCGCAGAACACACAAACACACAAGGAGCAGACAGCGACCGCACAGCGAAAAATACTCACAGCCACATTCATCACTCCACGCCGACGAGAAACGGAACGGAGGAATGAACCGAAAAAGTGAGTCCAGTGTGCCACTTCTAGACACAACTGAACAACTGAGTCACTGCGAACACGCCGACAATCCAGCGGTCCCAGACAGCACCCTCCCTACACGCCACAACTGAACAAAGCCCAGAGTCACCGTGAACGTGACAAACAAAGTTGTGTTTCGTTTAAAGTCCGGTGTGGTTTATTTGTGAAAAAAGTTGAAAATAGACCATTTAATGACAGTGCGCCTTATAATCCGGAACGCCTAATAGCCCGGAAAATATGGTACATTTTGAATTTTTATGGGTTTGTCTCAGTATCATTATCATATATATTTTCTTCAGCAATATATCACACTTCAAAATTTGTTACTGTGACAGACCCACTACTTCCATGGCGATATAAAACAAATGATAAAATATTTTGACCCAGGTTTTGTGTTGTAGCTTTTCTTGGAATTTTCAGCATTTTTTTTCAATTGTTCTGGTTTGAGTCCGTGTCTGTTTTGAAGCCTGTCATCACACTAATTACGGTAATCCCCTGGACTCTCTGAAGTGCTCTGTCGGGGCTTTTGTGAGTCTGCAGACCTCTGCTGAGAACAAAGTGAACACATCTGGAATTTGGCAACTAATTGTGCTTCAAGGAGCTCAGTTTGTCGGGATGGGACAAAATCTCGTGCTGCGCAATTTGGCGAGACAAAATGAGAAAATTATCTTGTGAGAAGTTTTTTCCCCATATTTTTACATTTGATTTGGATAAAAAATGAGTTAACTTTGCTGAGTAACTCCTCCAATGCCAAAAACAGAGCTAAAATTAAAATTAATACCAAAAAGCAGTGCTACAATGACAGCAGAACTATTAAATTATGCAAATAAAAAAATCATGAAGCCAAAATTGTAAATGGATTGGCATAGTTTATTAAAAATGAAAAAGCAGTGCTTCAATGACAGCAGAACTATTAAATTAAATAAATCAAATCCAAAATTGCGAACTAAATGGCAATGGTTTGTTAAAAATTTAAATTAAAAGTCTCGTTCTTTTGGACTAAATCTTGTGACTGTTTCTACTAGTTAGTGTTCTAGTTTGAATTTCTGTGAACTAGGAAATCTTTTTTGTATATGTAAACGTATTATTTTGTTTATAACTCCAGAGTTTGAAACCCTGATAAACAAAATCATGTGTGTTAGAGTTCTCTTCGTTCTCTCCGTGACCTGTAGTTACCTCTGTGATACTAATCCAGGGCTAAAGAGCTTATTCATAGTAATTATTTATTCTAGCTCTAGCACGTGATCAGATATTTGTGTTGTGTCAAGGTAGGATCCATAGCAAATGAGAAATTCAGTTTTGTCAAATGGATAAAGGTGTTTTTTGGTATGTCAATCGATATTCCTTGTGAAGTGAAGTGACCCCATAGTCTAAATGTTGTTTTTTTTTTTTTGGCTAATTAACAGATTTCTGCTCGTTTCTGCTGGTTTTATTATTTGAAGACTAGTATGATTAAATCTGAGCATTTATTTTTATTCTATTTTATTACCTTTATTTATTTATTCATTTATTGCTATTCTATGATGTTGCTCTTATTTTTTTTTTTTTATGTTTTATTATTTTAAGACTAGTATGATTAAATCTGAGCATTTATTTTTAATCTATTTTATTGCCTTTATTTTTTTATTTATTGCTGTTCACTGTTATTTTATTTTTTTAATGTTGTTTTATTAGTTTAAGACTAGTTTTTATTTTATTGGCTTCATTTATTTATTTATTGCTATTCTATGATGTTGCTCTTACTTTATTTTATTTTTTATGTTTAGACTAGTATGATAAAATCTGAGTGTTTATTTTTAATGTATTTTATTTATTTATTGTGATTCTATGATTTAGCTCTTATTTTTTATATTGTTTTATTTTAAGACTAGTATAATTAAATTTGAGCATGTATTTTATTGCCTTTATTTATTTATTGCTATTCTACGATGTTGCTCTTATTTTATTTAAATTTTTTATGTTTAGGCTAGTATGATTAAATCTGAGCATTTATTTTTAATGTATTTTATTAGCTTTATTTATTTATTTATTGCAATTCTGTGATGTTGCTCTTATTTTTTATTATTATTTTTAATGTCGTTTAAATTTGGGTGTGTATTTTATTGCCTTTATTTATTTATTGCTATTCTATGATATTGCTTTTATTTTATTTTACTGGTTTTATTATTTTAAGACTAGTATGATTGAATCTGAGCGTTTATTTTATCATTTTATTATAGTTTTTATGTATTATTATGTATTTGTGCAGCACTTTGGACACTGATTGTTTGTGAAATGTGCTATGCAAACAAAATTATGAAATTATCTGTATTGAAACAAGTTAAATGGAGCTTTAGTAGTATCTCTTGCAGTTCTTTTTGCTGCCACTAGATGTCCCCCTTCCTCGCTGTCAACGATAACCTGCATTATGTCGTATTTTTGCATTAAACATTATCGAAGGGTTCCAAAAATTGCACCATGTCCTAGACCGGAGTCCAGGTGATGCGTATGTGTTGATCTTGTGTCAGCAGGGCCACTCTCACTACACGTTCATTGAGCGGCTCACTCACCCCAAGACAAGGAAAGATGAAGTGGGAGGGGCTTCCGGGTTTCTATCACTGCTTTGTGCCATGGTCCTCGGTCATGGTGCACACGATGTCAACGTAAAACGGGATTTAACGCTTTTAAAAATGTTTCTAAATTAAAAAAAACGCATTATTGTTGAGATTTACTAAGAATTTCTTCGTATTTTTGCTGCAGAAAAACTAGAAACTAAAAATACTGTCTCTACCCATAATCCTTTGCAGTCACATAATAATAAATTGTGCTAACGTCAAACAGCACAAGCTCAGCATTTATTTTATCACTGATTTCGATTTATTTAGGCTTTATTTTATTTTAGAAATTATTTATGTGGCGTTTTTTCATTATTTTAGATGTTTAAAAATGTATATCTAACATGCAGTTCTCCTGTGTGTCCACCAGGTGGCTCTGCTGGGATTGGATCTTTTATCTGCCTTAGTAACCAGATTACAGGACCGGTTTAGGGCCCAAATAGGAACAGGTAAGAATTTTATTTTATTTATTTATTTATTTTTATTAAAGACAACATAATTTAATATTTTAAAAAATACAACAATCAACATAAAAACAAAACACACAAAAAATAAATAAAGCAACACCCACAACAATTACAAAACAACAAAAAATGCCACCCCCATTTCCCCCTGACCACACACAGCAACACAAATTTAATAAAATAAAAGGCCCCCTTACATTGATATGTTTTGGCCAGTTTATAATTCAAATTCCTTTTCTCTCTCTTTCTTTTTTAAACAAATATTTTTAGTCCCTTTACTTAAACTAATATTATTTTCACCATCATCATTTCCTTTCATCAAAGCATAATTTTAAAGGCATTTCCTTACAATAATAATAATAATAATACTTGTTAATAATAATAAATGTTTTGAGGAAATAGTTTGTATAGATATTTAAATTATCTATGTTTGTTATTTAACCCAGTGTAATCTATTTACACCTTTAAATCTGTATTTTCATTATTACATCCTCCGCATTTCATTTAAGCATCTTTTTGTCTCATAAATGTTCTTTTTGTTTATTTTTTATTTATGGTATTAATAATGTTTAATTCTACTGTCTTATTCTTTCTGTTTCAGTCCTCCCTAGCCTTATTGATCGATTGGGAGACTCCAAAGATCAAGTACGGGATCAGGATCAAACACTGCTGCTAAAAATAATGGAACAAGCCGCAACGCCTCAGGTATCACATTTCTACAATTTTATGAAGCTTAAATCTATATACCGTATTTTCCAGACTATAAGTCGCTCTGAAGTTGCACCAGCCAAAAAATCAGCAAAAAAACATATATAAGTCGCCCTTTTCGGGGAAATGCATTTTATAAAATCAGAGACCAGGAACCAACATTTCATTTTGAAAGTCAAGTTCTAGTAATAACAATGGAACAGAGAACAACAGAATGAACAGGCGTTAATATGTAAACGTAACATATTAACAGTTATTCAGATAATTATAGCATATAGAACATAACACAAGTTTACCAAACTCACGATCTCACTCCAAATCACTAAATTCATTGAATTCTTCATCCTCAGTGTCACTTCTGCGTGACCTTCGGAGATAAACCATAAATCCATGATGTAAACAGAGCACCGCTTCCTCTTCCATGTAGCTGTCCTCAGACTCTGCATCAGTTCCAGTTAGAATTATTCTGGCCTTTCTGAATCCCAACAGGATGGTTTTGGTGTCACTGAAGTTCAGGCTTTGTCGATTCATCCAGTGACTTCCAGGAAAGTTGTATGGTGCACCCTCCTGGTTACTGTGAAGCTGTGTTCTCCATCCCCGCTTTCTACCATTCAATCACAAGTTTCTCACTCACTCCAAACTTTCTTTCTGCTGCTCGATTACTGTTTTCGGCTGAATATTTCACTATTTACAGCAAGACAGCAGCTATTTCTACAGGACTCATGCGCAGTAGAGTGAAGTGACAGAGGTACAGGCGTAATAGTAGTACTACATACTGACACACAAGCCTAGAACGCTCTCTTACGGCTGTCAGTCTGAAAATTTTAATATATTAGTCGTACCAGAGTATAAGTCGCAGGAAACACCCAAACCATGAAAAAAAGTGTGATTTATAGTCCCAAAAATACAGTATTTATTTGCCATTTTGGAACTGGAAAACAAAAACGCTAAATAAATGTTGTATTAAAGGTGCACTTTGTAACTTTTAGGTTGGGAGTCCATCACCTGCTTGTTTATACAGTATAGATATGCCATTGTTCTGCCTGAAATGTTCCTCAGTATGGCATTAAACAGCTCTACTTTATATTTATTCAATTACAGGTGGTTTTAGAGCTCAAAAACACCTAGAAACGCAAGTATTTTCTCCTCAGATCTGACATGTAACTTGGTCTGGTTTGGTTTTCATGAAGATCGAGAGGTTTAAAGCCATACTGTGGGACATTTTGAACAAAGCGATAACATCTCCACTGAGAAAAACATTTAACGGACCCTCTATTGTTTGCGTTTTGTGTTTTTTTAGTACGTGTGGGACCGAATGCTGGGAGGTTTCAAACACAAGAACAACAGAACCAGAGAAGGAGTGTGCCTTTGTTTAATCGCAACACTGAACACGTGAGTTCTGCATTTCTATTTTTAAATCGGGAACACTTAAATAGTTTTCATATTTCACCGACAGTTTTATGTGTGTTAATAACGACTTTTGTTATGAACGCACGTTATATTCGCCTCGATTTATTTTTATCTCATCTGTTTCTTTCAGATACGGAGCCCAAGGACTCACTCTTAGTAAAATAGTCCCTCATATATGTAACCTTCTGGGAGATCCCACGAGTCAGGTCTGTCCTTTTTATTCATTTACAGCTCAAAAAATTTTAATTTGGGGTTTTAGACACATCAGATTTATTAATATCAAACAGTTATTATTATAAACTGTCATATTTTCTCATGTAAACAGCTTATATTAGTGTATGTACTAAAATTATACATGCATTTTCTTACTTTTTAAACTAGTTTTAGGTGGTTTTGTTTATAAAATGGTAATAATTGACAGCATTGGCTCTTTTAAATGTACTTCTACACAAGACTTAAGTCAATGTTTTGTATGTGGAATAAATAATTAACCTTTTAACAATAAATACACTTGAACTGAATTGATTAAGGACAAATATACATAGAAATCTTTGAAAACTCTTAAGCTTTATCCTAGTTAAGTAGATAAGTATTGGCTGTTGCTCAAGACATTTTTAGGTAGGGTGGTCTTTTACTTCCTCTCATTTCCTTTTTCTAACACTTTATGTGATGTTTTTGGCAGACTGTAAAGGATTTTCTGGTTTGTGTTATAATGTTTCCTCATCACAAACATACCTGGAGTTTTGCTTCATTCACACACTGCAAATTTCTCTGATCTGGCCAAGATTTTAAAACTTATATCAGGATATTCATCTTGTTTTCAGATATCATTAAGAAGTTGCCGATACGATACACATCTCGATACATTGAGCTTTTGATTCAATACATTTTTTTTTTTCGAATCGATTTGATAAAATTCAATAAAAAATAATGGCTAAATTGTGGTTGTAATACTAAAAGTCTTTGCTAAACCACTTCTTGTGCAAAGTTCATATAAAACACAAACATTTTAATCATCAAAACAGTGAAAATGTCAGTAGTCCAATGAGATTCATTTGGTCTTCCGATATTCTATGTTATTAGGTTATTTTTTTCAGACCTAGAGTGTCAGAAACATAGTGAAAATGTCAAATGTGTCGCATAAATGAGTTTCCTTCCACTAAATAAGCAACCAAACAGTAGCAATGTAACAAAATAACTGAGTAAAATATACCCAAAAAATACTCTTGGTGATATATCTATACTGTATCATCACATTAAATGTTAAGATGCATTGATATTTTGATATTTTTGCACACTCCTAGTTCTAAGATGGCTTAATTCTATTCTAGAGTTAGTTTATTTTAAGACAACTTGTAAAGTAAAATGATCTTGCTGCATGGACAGATAATTTCACTACTTTTAAGTCATTTTTCTGATAGGTTTAAGTGTTTATATCTTAAATTTTGGTCAATCTTTTTTACAGTGCACATGTTTAACACACAAACCTTGAATATTTAGGCTGAGTTTGTCTCTCAAACTGAAAACACTCTGCTCCAGCTTGTGATGTGGTAATAAGCCAATAAAAAAGTGTTTTTAAACCCCATAGACCCTCAGTAAAATCAGCCAATCTCCACTGAACAAAAAGTTAAATGTATCTGTTCTCTTGAAAACTACCACTAAATGACATCACAAGGTGGGCAAGAACATTTTGAGCTTTGGAGATGTAGATAGACTAATAATGCAGCATTACTCAAACATGTGTGAATGAAACAAAACACAAATCCAGGTCTGTTTTCGTTGAGGTTGATTATAACCTGGCTTAAATGTCATAAGAGTAAACTTTACGTAATACAGGAGCTTTAATGCTTCCTCTGCCTTAAGTTTGACCTCGCCCCGTTTTTCTTTGCAGGTTCGAGACGGGGCCATGAGCTGTTTAGTGGAGATCTACAGACACGTGGGGGAGAGAGTCAGACTGGACCTGAGCAAAAAAGGCCTTCCACAGTCACGGTAAAACAACACAACGTCAACTATTTAAAACCTCACGTGTTTCTTCAGTTCATTCATTTACATTGCAGACACGTACACTTTACATACATTTACATTTTACATTTACAAGAGAAGCCTTTGATTCTGCGCTGAGACAAAACCTGTACTGGAGCTCCCTCTAGTGGTCAGCTAAAAATTCACAACTGTTTTCTTTATTATTTATTGATTCCAGTAAATGGTTTAGCAAATAGTGTTACCAATTCAAAACCAGTATTAACACATTTATGTATATTTATTTACATTTTTTATTTACATATCCTAATGTGTAAAAAAAAAAAAAAATCACACAATTCATAGACCTTCAGCACCAACATAAACTTGTAGCTATATCTTTCCCATATTTCTGATTAGACTTTTCTGACTAGAATTACATTTATGTTTTAATTTTTTTAGCGTTTTAAACCTGGAAGAGCAGACTGAAATAGAACTACTGAATTAATATAAGGGTACCTGCATTTTAAAACATGTTTGTCACGTTTGTCGCTGTTTCTTTTACATAATAAAATGAATAGGTGAATAAGAAGGATGCTCGAAATCTAAAGAGAGAAGTAAGTTTGGACCACTGCAAGCTGTGTAAAATTAACTAGTTCTGTTTGTCTGTCACATTTTGAAGACTTTAAAGGTCCTATGTTAAACAAATTTGACTCTTTGTGAGCTTTAAGTCATGTTATAATGTTGTTTCCTCTTCAAAAACAGACCCGGAGCTGTGTTTTGTTTCATTCACACATGTTTGCGTAACCCTTTATTATATCATTATTAGTCTGTCTACATCTCCAAAACTCAAAATGCACTGCTCCACCTTGTGCTGTCATGAAATTTGAAGTCACTTTGAGAGAATAACTCAGCCTAAATATGCAGGGTTTGTGTGTTAAACATGTGCGAATGAAACAAAACACAACTCCAGGTCTGTTTTTGATGAGGAAACAATATTATAACATGACTTAAAGCTCACAAAAAGTCAACTTTGTGTAATATAGGCTCTTTAAAGTCTTCAAAATGAGAAAAACAGAGATATTTCATTTCATTTCACATACGGCTTGCAGTGGTCCAGATTTATTTCTCTCTTTAGATTTCGAGCATCCATGACAGACATGTTTTGAAATGCAGATATTCTTCTATTAATTCAGCAGTTCTATTTCAGTCTGCTCTCAAATGTACTGCTTCCAAAAAAAAAAAATTTAAAACATAAATCTACTTGTAATTCTAGTCAAAAATTTGAAATATGTGAAAGACATAGGTACATATATATAGTACGAGTATGTTGGTGCTAAAGGATAACTAATGTTTATTTAACAGGCACCATACGTAAGATCAGAAAATAGCGTCATATGGGCCCTTTAATAATTGCAGCTTTTATAATTGCACCATTCAAATTGTGAATTTTAGGGCCCTGCAGATTCACAAACAAAAAAAAACAATATCCTTTAGCATTTAGTATCCCCTCTGACCATCGTCATATTTCACACTGGACCATCTGCTCCCTCTGTGGTCAGCCTCTCCCTTCTCCACTCTGATGCCAACTCCTCACCCATGGACAATGCTTATTTTAGTCTTCACCAGTTTTGCAGCTCAGAACGGATTTTCTTATATAAAATTTTGACTGTTTGACTGTTTTTTCGCTTTTTTTTCTCCAGGTTGAATGTAATCTTCAGCAAATTCGATGAAGTCCAAAGATCAGGAAACATGATCTCCTCGTCGGGCTCAGGTCAGTAGATCTTTGAACCGTCCTCTACTTGTGTTTTGGAGATTGGTGCGTTGGTAAAGGAGCCATATAAAATTATTTGTTTGTTGTTATTTACAATTTCAAAGCGGTTTTTCATTGTGCTGATTAGAATAACATCCAAAATGGTTCACAGCTTCCTAAATTCACACTTACATCTCAAGGTGTTTTTCTTCTGTGGGGTATTAACTGCTCACACATTACATACTGTATTTGGATCATTGTTTTACCATTTATTGTTTTGAAAATGCTATATTTGACAAAAACAACAACGGATTAACACGTTTTATAAGTCCTGCTTTTGTTTTTGATGCTTTGAGTCTCCCTTTCGTTTGCTCTCCGTGTCAATTTGTCAACTGGACAACAGCTTATTTGGTCGAATATGTTTCGTACGTTTACTCATCCAAGCTGCTTCTTCGTTTCTCGTCAAATGTTGGTGGATACTTCTTATATCTGTCTGCAGGGAGAAGTTAAATAACTACTCTGAAACTAGCACACCTACTTGTTTACAGTTTTTGTTTGTTAACTAGGCCTATTGAACTTGCATTGAGTGTTGGGTCTTATTAGCATAATTATTCAGGGCAGTAATGGAGCTTTCACACCTCTGGACCTGACCTGGCTCCAGCTATTGTTCTCTTGTTTGTTTTGAGGATGGAGGTGTAAATAGGAGATAGATGGTGTCTGAGTCCCCCATTGATTGTCTTTCTTAACAAAAATAGCTTCTTTAACTCCCCTCTCAAGCCAATTCTTTTCTCTGGCTAAGATCTGTACCTCACAGTCCTCAAAGGAGCGGCCCGAGGCTTTTAGATGGACGTGTACAGCCGACTGAGGTCCTGTGTTGCTCTCTCGTTTGTGTTGGTACATCGTCTTGTGAAGTGGCTGTTTTTGCTCTCTGGAGTAGACCACATTGCTTTGTTTGTTGCTCGATGCTTTTGAGTGGAGCAGTTTCTGTTTTAAAGTGTTTATAGGTTTGGGGAAAAAAAAAATCCCCATGCTAAGTCACTCCCCTTTCAGAGCGCATTACAAATCAGCGTGCAGTCCGCTAATTAAACTACTGCACATCACATGAGATCTGTGAAGTTGCCTTGTACAGTTTACAGTTTACAGTCAAATAGGGACAAGAAGAGATCCCTAAATTACTCAAACATGCATGGATGACATTTCAGCCTTCTTCAGACATGGTAGAAAGTTTTTTTTTTAAATTGCATAATACCCCCTTCTTAAGCAAGGTATAAAGAATCATTGACATAATTGGAACCATTTGAAGAAATAAGTCCACTTCAAAACATAATATCTTGGTTTAAATTGGTTATCGCTATGGCAACAGTCCTAATTTACCATATTTTTTTAAGCTGATAGATTTCTTGTTATACAGTTTAGATTCACAGAGTGTATTTGAAAACAAAGACATATTTGCTGTGCCTGGTACTAGTTTGCCTTTGCTTTGTGATAAATTTCTAGTTCTTACATTTCATTATAATAACAGTCTTGATTGTTTTGGAAGTTATTTTCTTGTTTTTATGTCTCGGAGCAAATCATTATTCATGCAAAGATCGTTTTGTCAGTTCATTTCGCTTAGCAGTGCGTAAAGGGAGAGGTTTGAATGACAGACCTGGGGCTAGACTGGATGAGTTTGCAGAGCAGGAGGTCAGACAGCACACAGACATATACAGCGTTATCAGTGTGCAAGGAAACAGAAATGCTGCTAAGTTTAGAGACAGTTCCAGCGATGCATTTTTCACCCATTTTGACAAGGAAGCATATGAGACATTTTAGATAACAAAAATGTGTGTGTGTGCAAGTGTTGACTTTAAAACTTAGTTTGTTTTTAGCTCTGTCGACTTTTAAAAACTAAATATGGAGTATTTTTGCAGTGTTTGCTCATGTTTGTATTGCGTCTTCATGGTAACTTCTGAACATTCCACCATACAGATACATGTAGAACACCCCCAGCGTGATGTCACTGCAAAGCATCAGTATGGTCAGACATGATTGGATATGCTGGTTCAACACTAGTATTGTGGCTTTCAGTATGTAGTGTAGCCTTAGCTTGTACCTTGGGGTCACTACGTAAGTTTTTTGGTGAATGTTCCAGTGAAAATGTTGTTGTTTTTTGGAATGTTCCACAAAATGACATAAGATTGGGCAATCTCCATGGAGACAAGAAGGTCACCCCACAAAGCCAAGTATTTTTGGCTATAAAATTGCCTCTAAATGAACAAATGACAGAGAAGTCTATGCAATACTGTGGAACATTCCTGGCAAAGCAGTAACATTTTCATGTGACAAGTGAATGACAGACTCTGGACCAACGTAGGGAACCTTTAATTATATTTTTAGCAGTTGCAGAACATACAATGAACTCTGAATGGTGCAATATTTGTAATGATTTTAGCGTCGGGTAACCAGACGTTCCTATTTACCCGGGACAGTCCCAGTTTTGAGCCCAGTGTCTCCTGTCTCAGCAGATTTATACAAAACCAGTGATTTGTCCCAGTTTTATCAAGAAATGTCCCAGGTGTCCCTATTTTTGACCAATTTGATACCTGCGAACAATAAAGAGATTCATTAATTGTCATTTTTTTAGGTAAAATACAGAAAAGCTGCTTAAAAACGACCAAAACACAAAGAAAATTTGACTATACTGGCTCCATATATTAGTCATGAATGGTCTCTGCATAACAATTTTCTTTAATTACGCACTCGTTTTACAATTTTATTATTACTAACCATCAAAAAAAAAAAAAAAAAGAAAAATAGTGGAAATTCTGGTCGCCCCATTTTAGCATAATATAATTTGACTTTCAGTGATACTTGTTTTATTAACTAATGAACAGTTACTGAAAAATGTCTGTTGTCTGCTTTTTTCTAACTGTGTACATTTAGCCTTGTTGTGTTGTGTTAGTTTCAGGTAATCCTTATTTATTTAGCCGTTTCAGTTTTGCTAAAATCTAAAGCTGAAGGGTATGGACAAGGTTAACCAGCTGGTGAGATTATATAACTACAAAAATACCCTTACTTCACATTTACAGAGAAGAACAGTGGAGACTAGACACAATATTTAGACATGACTCAGCGTTTTAAAATATAAAGCTGCTAAACGGACGCGGCAGCTAAAAGTGTCGCGGTGTAAAATGTGCTGTGACATGTGCTAACGCTAAAGTGCTACTAGCTGTAAATGAGGAATACAGTACAGATATTTGATGATTTGATGAGTTCTGGGGTGACAGGAGTCTGAAATGTTTTAGTTTTGTTGGATTTAAACACTTTTATACATGTTTTGAGATGTTTGGTTAAATTATGAGTATGAAGAATGGCTAACTAGCTTTGATATGGTCTCATTATGGCGTTAGCTTCATTCCATGTTGATTCCATAGACATTATATTTAAATGGATTTAGTTAAGCTGCTAGACGCCGTGTTCCAAAAAGGAGTGAGAATGGGGGTGGTTATGGCTCCATCGACTCTGGCTCCAACTAACTTTACATTGAAAATCACCCCCCCCCTCTGTGTAACTGCTGTGGTGAGCCTCGTCATTTTGGTCTTAAAATGTTCATATTAACCCTGCGTACATGATCTTGGTGTTTTTAATTTGCTATTTTGTGAGCGAGCCTCGATGAGCTTCCTTTGACTGGAGCCAAACACTGTGGGTTAGGGGTAGAGCCGCGGGACCTGACGCAAAACAGTGCGGCGTGGGACACATTTTGAAAACTCACTGAGGGCGCGGATGGGAGCGAGACTGGACAGTGCAGGAGCGGGTGGATGGGACGATAAACTGCAGTTCTGCAAACTAAATATAAGTGTAAAGTAAAATATACAAATACAAATGATTCATGTTTGCCTATCATACATTATTTGTGCTGGATATTTTATTTGGTATTAATAAAAACATTTTAAGCAGCCAAAACTTGCAAACGTAGTCTAATCTCACGCACATTTTTGACAATTCCTTTCCTTCCTTCTCTGTGTTTGATAGAATTTAAGAAAGCAAACGTCTTCATCTTTTAGAATTTGCGGGTGGAAGCGGGACAAAATATCGCAGTTGTGAGCAGAAATTAAAATAAAAATTTTCTGCGTGTGCGGGACTAAAAATTCTGTCCCGCGCAGACCTCTCGTTAGGGGTGTGCAAAAATATTGAAATATTGAAATATCAATATTTCATCGATATCGTGGGCTGCTGTATTGATATATCACCAAGAGTATTTTTTGGGAATATTTTAAATTATTTTGTTATACCATTACAGTTTTGTTGCTTGTTTAGTGGAAGGAAACTTGTTTATGCGGCACATGAGACATTTTCTCTGTTTGGATGAGTTAGGGTTTGAGTTAGGCTTTATTTTTTTATTGAACCGCATCGAATCGATTTGAAATGTATTGTACTGAATCGTATCAAACCAAAAGCTCACTGTTTCGAGATATGTATCGTATTGGCAACTACTTAATGATCCCCACACTCTCCTAATCCACTTCTTTATACAGTCTATGGTTGATTCTAATATTGTAGTAGTGTCATAGTTGCCTTAGTTATGAATATAAATCATACTGTAAATTAACTAATTAAGAGAGAGTTATAGTGAAATTTGGCAAGAAATAAGAATTAATTGGGATACAAATTGCATAGTACAGTAAAATAAAGAATGTTATGGCTTAATGTTTATTTTTGACGCTGAATTTTCTTTGTCACAGATTTGAATTTGTTTAAAATTGTAATATTTATTAATAATTCTTTGTCAAATTAACATATTTACAGGTGCACTTTGTAGGCCTAACTTTATGTTGCAGGGCCTGTCGCATGTTTGTTTCCATGGAGATGTTATTACTTGGCCTGGAATGTCACACAGTATGGCATTACATTTTGTATTTACTCAGTGAACTTGAAAAAACATGCATTCTTACTGTGAGTGGGGGCGCCTCTCCACAGATCCAACCTATAACTTTATCACCTTGTCTCTGTGGAGATAGATAATTAAAAAAAAAAAAAAAAAA